ACGTGATGCATCATAGAGATGATCTCTAATCCCTCGTCCTAGCTTCAGTGGATGCACCATGAACCAGGAAGCCCTCAGACAAGTGTCTCCAACTGGCGGCCTCCTACAAACCGTACCTGGATACCCCAGAACCTGAATCATGAGACACCGGCATGATATGCAACACTGCCCCGAATGGACGTGATGGCTTCTGGAGAACGGTGAAGTCGATTTGGCCAGGCCAGTTGAGCGACCCGTTTCGGCGCCGAGGGCCCAGAAAGAATCTCTTCGTTTTGAGTACGCCTCAACAAGAGTTTGTTTGTCAAGTCACTGCATGCCAAATAGGTACCAATTGTTATCCAAGTTGTGGCAATAGAGCCCTTTCACCTTGACCCGGTCATACTGTCCATGACCAATATACCTGAAATCAAGTCACGACTCAAGATGTCAAGATTGACCTGATTGAGCCCATCCGAATCAACGCTTCAATAGCAGTCAAAACCAGGTTGGGTCAAGCGTGGCTTGATTCCATAACAGACCTTGTCTCGACCAGCCAACAAACATGACAAGCCAAGCCGAGTGGCCCTTTTCGAGAAGGAATACCAACGCTTTTCTATCCAACATGTGTGTACTGTCTGTATGATTGACAGGCTAACAGCAGCCGGATGCCGGACCCTTTCCCCCGAATACACTCTGCATCGCGACAATAGCCAATCGAGCATTATCCCGCCTCTCCATCAGAGACGTGTCTTGGGCTCTTACCTAAAGAGCAATCTCCCCTACTCCTTGTCGAATTAATTCGGGTTCGATATACGGATACCAGTTGCAGATTCTAGGCGTGCAGTGGTCGCCAATGCAACGGCCTACGAATCACACACACGCCAATGTCGGCGCTTAAAACTGGCCAATCACACACTCTAACCCCAGAAGGACGGCGGCTATTCCACACTCTCGGTTGACCCAGGTCATTCAATCCATAGCCTATGAGCTATTGTTCAACGTTTGGACCTCAAATGCTTTATTTAGCCTGCATCGAATCGATGCGGGCTTCTCACTAGAGTCCAATCAAGATGCTTTGCGCCCTTGGCTCTGCTCGATCCTGGTGCTTTTGCTTTCACCTGGGACCATCTTCAGGTCCACAAGCAACAACACAGCAGCATGCAATGAGTTGCTCGAGGTGCTATTATGGACCGCATCCTCACTGTGATTCGCTTCCCTATTGTCGTAGTTTTCATCCATTCTCCTCACCCTCAAGTGATACTTGCTCTTTTCATTCTCTCCTTTGGCTTCTTATTGTCGCTGTCGGTCTTTGATTGTGAACAAGCTATTCTTGTCGCATCCTATTGTTCACACTTTCTCCTTTGTTCTGCTACATTCATACTAGCTGGCTTTTCTTCCGTATCGTTTGCCTCCAACAACAGGCCATCATCTAAACGACAAAGATTCTGACATTCTGAATCTTGATCCAAACAACGACGATATAGTCATCTGTGGAAAAACAAACACCAAACGATACAATTTCCTTTCGATCACCAGCCATACATGTCTAAACACTAGATACTGTTAGCTTTCCTTCTCGTTTTGCTTTCCCTTTCCTATTCAAAGACTAGTCTTTACACCATGTACAACGACACTCATTATCGAGTCCCGGTACACCCACCGCCGTACTCGGAAGCCCAGCCACGGCGTCGAGAAGAGTGGGAGGATTGGGAGGACGACGAGCCTATCACACCCATCGACGCTGGGGAGCAAGTCTCTCCAGCTCCGCTGAATGTATCCACTCGAAACTCCAAACCCTCAACGCGACGTGCATCAAGAGCCTCTGCTGCAAGAATTGTCCGAGTCAAATCACGCCAGAGACAGAAGGTCCAGAATGCCAAGGCAGGCATCAAGCTTATCACAGACATGTCAACATTTCGCCGCCAGAACTACATGCCAACCCCGGCAGGACGAACTGGGAAATTTGTAGACGCTGCTGCTCTCAAGGCATTGGAGGGAGAACCAACGTCGGCTTCAGTAGGAAATTGGAATTGGTTCAAGAAGAGCAAGGACCAAAGCCCAGCAACTGCTTCGCCGCTGTCATCAGCCCAGCCAGCTCAATCAGCGCGTACACCAGACAACAAGCTCTCGCCAGATGACAGACCCATCGTCATTGGTCTGGCTCTCTCATCTGAGGAAGCGGGCAGCTCTTCCCGGTATGGCGCCGCTCCAAAACCCATTGACACTCCAGCACAACCCTATTTGCCTCGAAACCCTTCTTCTTCTTCAAACCTGTCCCCATTTCCAGTTCAGCAGAAGTCAGTGTGGTCACCTGATACACCCGACACCGTTTCCTCATTCAGCACCATTCGATACGCCTCAAGTATCTATTCACAGTTTCCATCTCCCGGCACGACAACGGCCGTCAATGTTCCACCCGTGCCTGCGGTTCCAGCAAACTTCAAGAAGTCAGCTCATCAGAGGCTCATCAGCTTGGAACTCGGAGGCAGAACCCCCGATGACTCTGATGGCGGTACGCCATGCACACTGTTTGAAGAAGACGGCACCTCGAGCCCACACAAGCAAGCAAGGGGAAAGACATCAGCACTGACGCCCGATAGTGCTGCATCCAAGTCCCGTGGCTGGTGGGATCATCATGTTGTCACACCTTTTATGGAGAACAGACTGACATTCACTACCAGTCCAAAGGTGTATACTGACTCACCAAAGACTATCCGAGGGGATGAATGGTGGAACAAGCAGGAGACCAAGCCTCCTCAAGGGGGGTACCTTACACCGAGCTTGGCTCCTGGCTCATTTCAAACACCAATTGTCAAAGAACCGACGCCACGTAGGACACCATCTCCCCGTTTTGAGCACACCCAAGAGAGCGAATCTGGGCCTTCAACTGCAAGGGCATCCCCCGTTCCTGAAACCATATCCATTTCAGAAAAACCACAACTACTTGTGACCGAGGAAGAAGAAAGTACCGGGGAACAGTTGCCTGCATACTCGCCTCCCGAAAAGAAGAGTCAGGCTGCTCCAGTAAGGTATAGGGCTGTTTTCCCGCCTGGACACCCACTTCAAAGCCAGTTTCCCCCCTCGCCCGGTCCTGTATCTCCTGGTCTCTCCTCTACCATGTCATCGCAGCGAGCTGAGCAACTGACTGATATTCCACTTACTCCGGCCCCGCGAGACAACCTGCGTCTCTCTCAAATGCCTCTCCCAACACGACCGCTGGGAACATCTGCACCCCACGAATACTCCCATGGCGAAGCCGAACACGCCACCAAACAGGAGCGTCAGAGAAGACGAAACGAAAAGGAAGAGGCTGTTGCTCGGCGCCTAGGTGGCTTCTGGAGAGGTCGAGGATGTATTCCAGACAGGGGTTGCTTTGGTCGGACTGGACGCGAGGGTCGACAGCGACGCCGTGTCTGGATGATTATTCTAGGAGTTCTTCTTGCCGTTATCATTCTTTCGATCACCTTAGGCGTTGTTCTGACACGCCCCAAGCATTCAGAGGAAGTGCCATCAATCTGGGTCAATTTGACGGATTTCCCACCCATGCCAACCGGAGACTTGACAATCGTTGGACCGGACAATACTGTTGCAAAAAGTGGCTGCACTGAGCCATCCACCTTATGGAGTTGTTCTCTACCAAAAGAACAGCATGACTCGGTGAAGCCTTACAAGCCTGACCAGCCAACCATTATCCTGCAGATCCAGTGGGACAACAGTACCCGCAACGATTGGAAAACCCCCAACGAGGATCCCCCTTCGTTGAAGGGGCGTCGAGGTATGGGCGGCGCCGCATATGCGGGAGACGCTATCCGGGCACGGGAGGCGCCCGGCTTTGAGCCCAGTCCCAGCCCACCCAAATTCCAAGAGATGTGGTTTCTGGGAAATACAACTGACAATATCAAATCCGATAAAAAGGGCGGCGAGGCGACTCCATTCTACATCAGTCTGGTTGATTCTGTCGAGGAGAGTAGCCGCAAAGAGCTGACCAAAAGGCAAGAATTGGACGTGAATGTTAGCCTTGCTGAAGTGCTCCCATCCCCTGATCTCAACGAGAATGGCGCATCCAAACCAGCTGTCCTGCTCCCGCAGCCGGTACAGCAACCAGTGAGGCTCTACGACCGCGGGCTTCCGACCGAGCACTATGGCTTTTACACCTACTTCAGACGAACCATCTTCCTTAAGTCGGTAACAGTTCTTAATGATACCAAGGATGGAGACATTCCCCTAGACGAGGACGGCGGCTGTCGGGAGACAGAGGCTGATTTCATCGCGACTTGGAGCGAGACACGTTTTCTCGTTCAAATCTGGACACGGATACTGGCTGCCAACACATCGAAGCTGATCGATCCTACTGGGCAAGGCGCCATCGACGGATCACCAGATCTGATTCGGCCAGGAACAATGCCGTACCCGGTGACGGTGACGATGGATACACATGGAGGAGACCCAGGGAAAAAGTTTGTCTGGGCCTGGCCTATCGATGATAGACAGAAGATTGATGAAGAGAACCCCAAGCTACTAGCCAACGACATAGGAGCTGGTGGCACGTGGATCAACAAAAGGTCTCGAGGAGACGAAAAATTTGGCGGATTCGACGGCGGGACCGGAGGATGTAAATGCCAATGGGTGAATTGGGTGTCGAGGTGATCACCATCAACCTATTAATTGACTAATGATGGGATGCATGCAGATAGATACTTATGCATCTAACATGAAAGCATTGGAAAGGGCGTCGTGGCATATTCAATCCTAGAGGGGATTTTAGTTACAAGTTATTATGAGATTAGTCTAATGTATTGTATTAGCTGATCTCTGCTTCTACCACTGCTTCTACTATATCTGCTCCATGTGAGCTCCGTCTTTGATGTTGTTCCGCGTCCCCCCCCACCCTGTCCGACGAGTGGGGCCGTTCCGTGTTGGGGCCGTGGCCCAAAATAACTTCACATCGAATACCGTAACTGGATGCCTTCAGATCTGTCTTATCATTACCCTTTGACAAAACCCCCAGATTCTTCACGCAGATGCGCTCTCTTCTTCTTCAATGCCGCCATAAGGGAATGCTCCTTGGCCCCAGGCCTCAAAGGCTTCGGTTTCTCACAACCCTCGCCATCGAGACATCCTGTGATGATACAGGCGTGGCCGTTCTTCGGCATACACCAGGATCAACTGAACTCCTCTTCAATGAGCGCATATCCTCTGATAACCGCGCGTTCAAGGGTATACACCCAATTGTAGCGGCCAAGGGCCACAGTGAAGCTTTAGCACCTCTTGTGCGTCGAGCAATAGACTCTCTGCCAGCTGCTGAAGATGATGGCCAGAAATTCTGTGATGCTGGTGGCGTGAGAAGGCAAGTTCCGGACTTTGTGTCGGTGACTCGTGGACCTGGGATGCGCTCGAACCTAGGAATCGGCCTCGACATGGCCAAGGGACTGGCCGTTGCTTGGGGTGTCCCCTTGGTCGGCGTCCATCATATGCAGGCTCATGCGTTGACGCCGCGACTGGTCCGGGCTCTGGGAATGAGTATGGGCGAAGATGAAATATCCCAAGAGGGACCAGAATTTCCTTTCCTGTCCCTACTTGTTTCAGGCGGACACACTCAACTTGTTTACTCAAGAGGCCTAACAGAGCATTCTATCGTTGCTACAAGCGGCGATATTGCTATTGGCAATCTTCTGGACCAAACAGCTCGCGATATCCTGCCTCCCGAGGTCTTCGAAGCAAGCGAGCATGTCATGTACGGTCGCCTCCTTGAAGCCTTTGCCTTCCCACCAAAAAATAGCTCGACTTCTGCCTATGAGGCTGTTTTCACACCACCAGCTTCTCGCTCCGCAGAGATGTCTCCTCCGTCCACAGGGTATGAGTGGAATATCCCCACGCCATTTCGACAGACTAGAAAACTTGCGTTCTCTTTCAGTAGCATCTACACACACGTTCACGATCTCGCAACCTCCCGCCCCTCCATGCCTCTGCCTGAACGCCGAGCCCTGGCACAGCATACCATGATGGCAGCTTTTACACACCTCGCAGGCAGATTATGTATCGCCCTTGACGACAAGCCAGAGCTTCGAGCTGCAAAGACACTAGTTGTAGCGGGCGGAGTAGCGAGCAATAGATTCCTTATGCATGTACTGCGGTCTATGTTGGCTGTAAGGGGCTTTGGTGACATACAAATTGTTGCACCGCCTGCAGAGTTATGCACAGATAATGCAGCCATGATTGCATGGTCGGGCATGGAGATGTATCAAGCTGGCTATGAGTCTGAGTTGACCGTGACGGGCGTTGGAAAATGGTACATGGATCCTGAAGTTGGGGACGGGATATTGGGGGTTGATGGGTGGGTGAGAAGAGACACCAGGGGCTCAACTCCTGAGAAGTCATGAGAAAATGGTGAGACACTTTGCACCGTGTATATACTACCAGTCAGTATGAGCGGTGTTGGCTTGACACGCCGGATAATATAGCGTTCATTGTATTGTAATTTATTTGACTTTATGTCGACATCACTACGAGGTATTGGGGTTTAGGATATCTGTTCTTTGGCAGGGCAAAGCCGTCGTTTGATATATTACACGGTCGTTCTGGATTCCAGGTCCTGTAGACGCGCAGGCGCCACCTCTATCCCCCAGGCTGCATCAGTCTGCACGTCTCTATTCCTAGGCTGATAGCATCTTCATTTCTAAACCCAGAATCCTCTAATCAAGTGCGCTTGTCACGTTGGTAAACTCGCCCTTCTCAAGCTTGGTCTTCCAGAAAATGGGGTTGGTGTCGTTGAAGCCGTGCTTCACCCAGCCCTCTTCCTTAACATGGTACAGGTTGATGTAGCCACCAGAGTAAGCATCTCGGTGGGTGGCGGCCAGAATACTTCGCTTTCCAAGCTCCAGGGCCTCCTCATCCGACAGATCGTACTTGTACTCGGCATCGAGAACACCATACGCGAATGTTTGACCCGAGCCAACGCAGAAGAGGTTGCCCGCCAAGCGAGTACCATCGCTGTCGACATAGTAGAGAGCAGGGCCTTCCTCCTTGGTGACACCGGCGCACATGGTGCCCATGCTGAGGCCCATTCCCTTGTAACTGTAGACGAGATTGGCGAGGATCTTGCTGGCGGCGGCGACGCTGATGCGACGCTTGTGTCGTAGCTCATGGAGGCGACACTGCATGCCGAGCCAGGCAAGCCAGTACTGACAGTCTGCAGCACCGCCAGCCATGGTTCCTAGCAGGACGCTGTTGATCTCAATGACCTTCTTTACGGTTTGCGAGGCGATCCAGTTGCCAGCGGTGGCTCGGGAGTCGGTCGCAACAATGATGCCGCCCTGGAAACGGAAAGCGAGCGTGGTGGTTCCGTGGGCGATCTTAATGGGGCAGTTGGGGTTTGATCGGTCATCAGTGGCGGCGCGAAGCCATGATGAGGGCTACAATGATACAATCAGTACAGTATCCAGAGTGGCCAAGTTACGCCTAGGGTACGAACCTGAGCAACGGGGGGCATGGCAAACTTGAGCGAGAGATCACCCATGGAATTCAGCAGCTCATCCTGGTCCTCAAAAGGCTCATTCTGCTCATATGCTGGTCGGCTATATTTCGAAACAAGAGAATCCATCTTGGGTTTATTGAAGAGAAGCAGTAGCAGCAAAAGAATCGTCTTGTAATCCTTCGTCCTTGAGCTGAGCTGAGCTGAGCTGTGTGCCTCGAATCCTAGCTTCGGGTGGCGTGCAAAGGGTGGAGAGAAGTCTTTTCCCTGGTCGTGATGTCTTCGTTATATCGTTCGTGATCGAGATTGGTGTTATTGACGTTTACGTTGACGTCGACGTGCGTGGGTGATGATGATGATGATGATGATGGGTGCTGTGAATTCGGAAGCGGAAGTGGAAGTACAGTAGAAGTGGGAATTGAAGCTCCAGACAAGGAAGCTGAGGCTCAGGCAGCTTCCGTTGCGCGCGTCAACTGAATGCCACCTCCAACTTAGGTACGTACCTTTTCCTGAATTGGTCGGCGGCGGGAGGGACAGGACAGTGGGGCTGCTTGTGAATGCCTGGTTATCAAGGCTTTCAACAGCCCAGCCACAAGCACGTTCCTTAGGTAGGCAGTGTCTTCTTAAATCTTAGGGTACAACATCTGAAGAAAAGGTTAAGGCATCATGTTGCATATACATATACATATATTAAAAAAAAGGTATTTTATTCGTCCATTGATCGCTTCTTAGTCTCTGACCAAGTTCCCCAGGTTCCTCATTTCCTTGCCCAATACGCCAAAGAAAACCACTAATCAAGGGATATTTCTCTCACTGACTCCCACCAATTCACAGACGTAAAACATACTAATTTACGCCTTGCACCTCTTAATAGAGTATCCTCCTTGAATCGTCAAAGAACCTGTTGTCTCCTTTCTTCACTGCCGGCCCAGATATTAACCCCCAAGATTTGCTTCTGAATTAAACAAAAGAAAAAGAAAAAGAAAAAGAAACAAGCACTTGAAAGGAAAGATCTAGTATAGTGTCTCAATTGCCTCAAGACTCGTGTGAAATGAAATACCCCGTCATTACCCAGCTAATGAACCGTTCCTGCTTAAGGGTTTGGCGTCACTTCCCGACTGGTTCGCCCATCCCGTTTGCTCATGAAGCTTCGGCGAAGATGGGCTTTGGGACTATCGGGGACTAGGGTAGACTCTGTTGGTTGGAAACTGCTCTTCAGTGTCACTGTTCCACTGCCAACTGTGAGCTCCTTGGCAGTAGATGAGCCTGACTCGTCAACAAAGTAAACATGCTCGCCCAGATCATCATCACTGCTGAAAGTGTGCTGTCCCTTCGCTTCGATCTTGAACTGTGCGTCGGGCGAGCATGGGAATTTAAATGTATCGCCGAAGGTCCACTGACCATTCGTAGACTTGAAGTGCTTGGTCTTGCCCACTGTCTTCTCCTTGGGGTTGATCTGCGTGATGACGATATACAGATCCGATGCGGGAGGGAAGCCTGTGGCTTCGACCACAGTGAAGGAAGCAGTGCCTCCTGGTGCAGCTCCGGGATTAGCGCTGTGGACTGATGACTGTCCAATGCTCTTTGCCCGAGCATGGCCGTTGCTTGTAGAAGGCCGAGTACCAGGTGACGTGCCCTCTTCGTTGATGGCGGGTGACCGGCGGAGACCACCATTGGTGCTTGCGGTACCATTAGAGCTCAAGCCTTGAGGTTCAAACGCCTCACCATCTTCTTCGATAATGTCCCCATTGTCCTTTTTGTTAAAGATGCCGCGGCGGAGGAACGAAGCTCCCCTACCAACGCCGTGGCCAACAACTCCCGCAACTGCAACACCACCCTTGAGCGGCGCTCCGGCAACACCGGTGACGATACGACCAGGAGTAGACGAGAAAGTGTTGCCAAAAGTGGATGTGCCCTGTCGTGATCGCTGGACATAGCTGGGTCGGAACAGGAGTCGGATGCGTACGCTTCCCGATTTGCCATCAAGGATGTACTTGGTCTCTGATGGCTTGAAAGGATCCAGAGACTCGAGATTGATGTCGGCAGCACCCAAGAAGTCGGGTTTGTCTGCGAAGTCGTAATCCCACACAGAGAGTTTGAATTGTGCTGCAGTTCTCGAGGGCACATTGACCTCAAAGTATTCATTCCATGTGGGATTCAGAGTCTTCTTTATAACCTTGGTCTTGTGGATCTCCTGGCCGTTGAGCTCGAACTTACAGTAAGGATCACTCTTGCCATTGCGATCAGCTGAGGGAAGGTCAGTAGCATCGAGAACATCAACGCGTAGTGTACCCATGTTATTAATACTCTCGCTCGGGTCAAGCTGCATCTTAACCGGGATGTACTTCAAGCTGACCTTAACACTCGCGGGGCGTCCGTCTTCGCTCTTGAGTTTTAGAGTTGTCGGGTTGTTCTAGAGAGGCTAGTTAGTTTTCATGCCTATACAGTGAGATCCAATGTCAGTCTTACCAGGCACTGCTTGAGAGTTTCCAGGGTGTTGCCAGCCAGTGAGGCCATGAGATCATCTTGGTCATCACCCTTCTTGCGGGCCCGAAGTGTCAGTCGGGAGAAGTCAAGCTCACGAATGAAGCAATCTCCAATCTCTTCAAACTTGTGGTGCTTGCTACGAGCAGTCGAAGAGACGTAGGACGGGTATGCCATATCATCTACAAGAACCTCCAGCAGTCCATGGCTTTCTGGCATCTCCGCCTCCATGAGTCTGAAGATGAGCAGGCCACTCTCATACCTGAGAAGCTCCTCAGGGGACAATCGGATTTTACGGGGACCCTTGGGCGCATCGATCGAGGGGCGTCCAACAGTAGTGGGCGTAGGCGGCTCCAGTTGGTTCTCCTTTGGCTTGTCCAGGCTGGCGTTGAATTTACCAGCTTCGCTGGATCTCTGCGGGTTAGGTGCTTGTTCTTCACCGGAGGAAGAATCTTTGTCCTTCTCTGCGTCCTTCTCCTTCTCCTTCTCCTTCTCCTTCTCCTTCTCCTTCTCCTTCTCCTTCTCCTTCTCCTTCTCCTTCTCCTTTTCCCTCTCCTCTTCCTCCTCCTCCTCAGGATCAGCGACATTGAGACAGGGATAAAAGGCAACAGTGTAATGCAGAACTCCTTTGGCGATACCCTTGCCATGCAGACGCAGACCGTCCTCACGGAGCTGTTTCTTGTCGTTGACAAGGTACTCCCCGGTCTCGTCCTGTGCGACATAGTCGGCGGCGAAGACTTCGACCATTCCCAGACTACGGTCCTTGCCAACCTTTTCTGTATCCATTACTTCCAAAGCAAGTCTATCACGAGCAGAATGGATAGGTACATAAAGTACCTCGTCCCATTCAGGATTAAGATCGTTGCGGAAGGTGACAGTCCGTGCTTTTTCAATACCAGAGAGCAGAATTCGAGTGTAGGGATCTGATTTTCCGAACGCCTCGAAGTTTCGTAGATCAGTAGCCTTCTTGAAATGGAGACGCATCACACCGATGGGGGTAACATAGCCACCAGTGCTGGCCACGCCAGAGATAGCGACGGGCCTCCACTGTGCCATCATCTTGACACGACCAGTCTGAGCACCATGCAGGTTGTACCATTCTTTACCTTGTTCCATACATTCAAGCATCTCATCGAGCTTGATCTGGTACTTTCCAAGGACTTGGTCTCCAGCAAGATCACGGTCATCCTTGATTGTAAGACCAAGCTTAGCCTTCTTCCGGTCCGTGATCAAAATCTCCTTAGACCCATTGTCCCAGATAGGGTTATTGGTACGCTTCAACTTCTTGGTTTGGTGGACTTCTTTACCATTCAAGAACATAACCGCGTAAGGGTTGAGAGATCCTACAAGACTCTTGGTACCATCCAGATCTTTGGCCTGTTCCACAGTAAATCGAAGGATACCTTGGTTGGATGGAGGTGGAGG